TACAAATAGTGTGATAGATTATTATCACAAAATCTATCTTCATGTTGGACCACGTACACTCCAAAGTCTGATTTCTCAAAGATTTTGGATTATTTCGGCGCGTAGCATTATTAGGTCACGCTTATCTAAATGTGTTTCATGTTTTAAGGTTCGACCCACTGTTCATCAACCTTTAATGGGTTCATTACCTAAGTTTCGGGTTGAGGATATCCACCCATTTCACACTGTAGGAGTTGACATTGGTGGCCCTTTTAGTACAAAAGAAAGTCACAGACGTAATGCTAAATTGTCCAAGGCATATTTATGTCTTTTTGTATGTTGCTCTACGCGTGCAGTACACCTGGAAACCATATCGTCCTTATCTACTGATAGTTTTCTAGCGGCATTTGATCGATTTACAGCGCGTCGTGGACTGTGCCATACCATAGTCTCAGACAATGGTCGAAATTTTATCGGTGCTGGTTCGCGTCTAAAAGAAGTAGCAAACTTCTACAAAGATAATTCAGAGGCTCTTGGTAATCAGTTTTATATACGCAAAGTTCATTGGACATACAATCCACCCACAGGCAGTCACTTTGGTGGGTTGTATGAAAGCGGAATTAAATCAACAAAAACAATTTTAAAACGCGTTATAGGTCTCAAAACACTTTCATTTGAGGAGCTTAGCACTCTCTTCGCGCGTATTGAGGCAGTACTAAACTCGCGTCCAATCGCTAGTTTGTCAAGCGATCCTAATGAGTATGAAGCTCTCACACCGGGCCATTTTCTAATTGGTCGCGAGTTGCTGGCAGTGCCAGAGTATCCTTTGACAAACGAAACTGTACATGCACGAGATAGGTGGCAGACAATACAACAGGCCTCACAACGGTTCTGGCAGCTTTGGAAACAGGATTATTTGCACACACTCCAACAACGGCACAAATGGTATAAGAATACCCCTAATCTCAAAATCGGTGATTTAGTCCTTGTTCATTCGAGCTCTCCTCCATTAGAATGGGATCTAGGAAGAGTGATTTCTTTACATCCCGGGCCTGACGGGATTGTACGCGTGGTCAAGGTTCGTACCAAGAATGGTCAATTTACACGGCCTGTAGTTAAACTAAGTCCGCTCCCTTTGGAGCAGTAATTTTCTTAATATTTAAGCACATACACATTTTATTAGATGTAAGATCTTTATATTTTCTATTTATACAGTCCACTCATATCATATACATATATGTAAGAAGATAATTTAGTAATTAGTAACATATGTTCTCAACAGTATTCATATACTACTATCATGTATTTGTATATACATGCATTATCTATTATTATTAGCTCATAGATTCAAAATAGTTGGTTCATAGACTTAATTGCAATTGGAAATCCTGGCGGATTTCGGTGGGGGGAATGTTCGCGCTGGTCTTTGCCTCATACTGGGAGTCTATAGCCGTGCACTTAAAAAAAAAAAAAGAAAGGCGGGTTACTTGTTCGCATTGCCGCCATTGTCGCAAGGTCGCATCAAATCATTAATTCAATATTAAAATAATTCTGTTATAATTTTCAAATAAAATACAACAAAACAAGAAAAGACTGTATGTGTATCATAAGAGTTCATGAAAAGCAGTGCAGTGTGGTAATTCTGCCGAAAGTTCCCGGGAACGAAGATTGTGCAAGTTTGGCGACAAGGTCAGTGTGCATTTTTGATTCCCAGTACCTATTATTGGAAGTTAATTTTAAAAATATATCATTATTCGAACAGCATCAATATTTATGCAGGACATATAGGGCTGGCAAGTTTTAGTATCTCTGTGGTCATTTTACTTGTCTCTGATAATAAAAAATCTAGTAGCGACAACCTCTGTATCAATACCAAATAGTTTTAATATTGGTTTATAACCTGCTGATTCATTTTCTATTGTTAGCTCTAATACTTTTTTAGTAACTTAAATGTCAACCAAGTTATATCAAATTTGAAATTATGTTAAGTCCATTTCATTTACATACTGGATTGATATTGTTTTGTTTAATTCCGCTACAATTAGCATGTGTGAGACCACAAATATAAAATGCGGAAAGTTAACCATTGCTATTGTATTAATTACTTAATGGATTTATATCATTTTGCTTAATTCCGCTAGCATTAGCAGGTGTGTGACCACAAATATTCGGTGCGGAAACTTGACCATTGCTACTGGAGGCATTACTTAATGAATTTATATCATTTTGCTTAATACTGCTATCATTAGCACATGCTAATGATAGTGTGTGACCACAAATATTCGGTGCGGAAACTTAACCATTGCTACTGGAGGCATTACTTAATGAATTTATATAATTTTGCTTAATTCCGCTATCATTAGCACATGCTAATGATAGTGTGTGACCACAAATATTCGGTGCGGAAACTTAACCATTGCTACTGGAGGCGTTACTTAATGAATTCATATCAATTTGCTTAATTCCGCTATCATTAGCACATGCTAATGATAGTGTGTGACCACAAATATTCGGTGCGGAAACTTAACCATTGCTACTGGAGGCGTTACTTAATGAATTCATATCAATTTGCTTAATTCCGCTATCATTAGCACATGCTAATGATAGTGTGTGACCAAAAATATTCGGTGCGGAAACTTATCCATTGCTACTGGAGGCGTTACTTAATGAATTTATATCATTTTGCTTAATACTGCTATCATTAGCACATGCTAATGATAGTGTGTGACCAAAAATATTCGGTGCGGAAACTTAACCATTGCTACTGGAGGCGTTACTTAATGAATTTATATCATTTTGCTTAATTCCGCTATCATTAGCACATGCTATCATTAGCACATGCTAATGATAGTGTGTGACCAAAAATATTCGGTGCGGAAACTTAACCATTGCTACTGGAGGCGTTACTTAATGAATTTATATCATTTTGCTTAATTCCGCTATCATTAGCACATGCTATCATTAGCACATGCTAATGATAGTGTGTGACCACAAATATTCGGTGCGGAAACTTAACCATTGCTACTGGAGGCGTTACTTAATGAATTTATATAATTTTGCTTAATTCCGCTATCATTAGCACATGCTAATGATAGTGTGTGACCACAAATATTCGGTGCGGAAACTTAACCATTGCTACTGGAGGCGTTACTTAATGAATTTATATAATTTTGCTTAATTCTGCTATCATTAGCACATGCTAATGATGGTGTGTGACCAAAAATATTCGGTGCGGAAACTTAACCATTGCTACTAAAGGCGTTACTTAATAGATTTATATCATTTTGCTTAATTCCGCTATCATTAGCATGTGTGTGACCACAAATATCCAATGCGGATACTTATCCATCGCTAGTGGAGGCGTTACGACCATCTCTATTGGTGATCAAATTCCTACTGTTATTGAGTCTACACCCACATTGCAACATGTGTTTAGCCTCTGAATGCGGCATCATCAGGAGTAGATTACAGCTCGTATATAGCTTGGAAGCCTAGTGGTGACTGTACGGCCGTTGGTCCCCATATAAATATATTAAATCGACCAAATTAATAGTCTACCTAATAGGAAGTGATAATCGTCATCTTCATACATAAACAGCACGATCTTTACAAAATTAACTGTGACCCACATGGTACACCAAATTTAGAACCAAACTGACATGCCTCTACCCCCTATAACTTTACAGCAATATCTCACCCTTGAGACAGAAAGATGTGTCTGAAAACCATAATGTAAAACTAATTGACACCCCTAGCGAAGTATCCTAGACTGGAATCAGCTCTATATGACGCCTCTCGTGTAGAGCTGGATAAAGTCGACGCAGAGCTTGCAGCAAAATCTTTCAATTCTCAATTCAGATTGGGTGTAGAATTATTTTTAGTCTAGTTCCTATTATTCTTTATATTATATTCAGACGGAAGTTAGATCCCGGAGCCAATAATATTTGATGGTCTCGTTGGTCTAGCGATTTAGCACACCGCCTTATTTCTGATGTTTGCAGGTTCAGTTCCTCGCTCGTTACAAACATACATTCACGGGTATGATTGTTTGTATCGGTCTGGGTATTTCTATTTATATTATAATCTTATAATAATAATAATCTCAGGACAATTCACACAGCGCCATCTAGACCCAAGTGAAGCTAGCTAAAGCTTGTGTTATGGGTACTAGACAACTGATACAAGTACATAGATATTTTTTTTGTAAATACATATTATACATAGAAAACACCCAGACCGATACAAACAATCATACTCATGAATACAAATGTTTGTGCCGTGCGAGGAATCAAACCCGCGACCATCGGTCGTAAAGCGGTGTGCTAGACCGCTACACCACCGAGGTCGTCAAATATTATGTATTTATTTACAAATAAAATGTATCTATTTTTTTCTATTTTAAGCTCTGCTTATCTTGAGAGTAGATGGCTCTGTGTGAATTGTCCTGAAATATTATATTATTATATTTGTTAGTCTTGCTATTAGACTACTCCGACGCTGCCCGCATCAGTTATGCGATTCTATTCAAAGCATCTGTAAACACTGCCACCAGTGTTCGATCGATCATGTTTCTCTATTCGTGTACAGTTCTGTTGCATTAGGAATTTGTGGAAACTAAATAAATCCATAGCGTTCAGTGAACATGCCAGCTATATTTGTAGGCGATATACTCGTATATCGTTGTAAAATTGCTTATTAGGTTTATTGTACTTTACTTCTGCTGGTCGCGGGTTCGATTCCTCGTACAGTGCAAACATTTGTATTCATGTTTTTGCACTTTTTGAGAAATACTATAATCTAAATTTAAAATCTACTAGTTAATAACTGTGACTTCAGTGTGAGGACACCGCTTGGGGTTCGAACTTCGGCCCAGGTCGTCATGATTTCTATACCCATTTACATCGATCGGAGGGGTTATTCCGAATAAAATAAATATTATATATATTTGATAACAGTTGACAACGCGACTGATTACGCCTTTTAAGGTGGTGAAGATATTTTATTAGTATTTCAATTTGCAGCTTACGGATAAGGAGCTTCCATCCGGAAGATGCTGGAGTGTACAGCTGCATGAGTCGGGACAGTCTCAACGAGCTGACTGTCACCATCAAGCATCAGCCCAGTCTTGAACCAGACTTGATAGATGGTAAGTTATACTCATATCCGGCTATATAACATATGAAAGTGTGTTGCAGCAACAAGTTAGATTAAATATCCTACCATCTTAATTTACAAAAAGGTTCCCCCAGTATAGAATAGTAAATAATCAAATTACAAGGAGTCCTGGCCTTAGTTGTCCTGTACAGCTTCAGCGGAAGATACTAGGGTGAGTGCAGGGGACGCTCGAAACCTGAGGAAAGACTTATGGAGCGACTGAAAGCCAATTCTTTCCTGACTGATGCTACATTAGTTTAAGGGCACCGCTACACTTTTGAAGCTCGGCTTAGGAGGTCGTAATTGCGATTCTCGTTTCAATAATAATATAACAATAATAATCTCAGGACAATTCACACAGCGCCATCTAGACCCAAGTTAAGCTAGCTAGAGCTTGTGTTATGGGTACTAGATAACTGATACATATACATAGATATTTTTTTTTTGTAAATACATATTATACATAGAAAACACCCAGACCGATACAAACAATCATACTCATGAATACAAATGTTTGTGCCGTGCGAGGAATCGAACCCGCGACCATCGGTCGTAAAGCGGTGTGCTTGACCGCTAGACCACCGAGGTCGTCATCTGGGACACAGGATCGAGTAAAATATTAGACCATGGACTTCTCGTTCTAAATTTTTTACATACCACTAGGATGGCAAACATACATACATACACTTTTGATGACAAATGGTTATCCGTAGCCTATAGACGCCTGAAACATCAGGAAAGTATGTACGCGTTGTCGACCCTTAAGAAACCTTAGTTTCTCGAGGAAACCTCGGCAGGTAGTGCATTCCACAACCTCAATGGCAGTGCTAGTGCGACTAGTGCATTCCACAACCCCAAGTATACAAGAGAGGAAGGTCCTCTGAAACCGCACTGTCCTACACCATTTAGATTCCAGTGTGATATGATGAATTTCCTGTCGATAGCGAGTGGAGCTTCTTAAATTCTTCAATTGTCGAACAATTCTTCAGAACAGAGTCCATTGTATATCGGTAAAACACTTAAAGCGATGCAAAGTCACGTCTCAAGCTAAGTGTTTCGATATTTAAAAATTTTTTAAATACTTTATAATATACTGGATTAAGAATATATGTTTAAACTCTTATTGACTTCAGAAATGATAATCGATTCCTATATATCTTCAGCTTTAATGTCCTTATTTTCGTATACTTTATTTCTCTTTACTGACCATCCAGATGTGTAAACATGGGATGAACGCTGGATTCAGAAATGCAAAAATATTGCAATCATGTGTAGAGATGTTTTAAATGCAATCTTGTTATGATTATGAATAATACATATAAATCTGAATCATTGTAATTCCCTGGAAAAAATATTGTACAAAGCTTTAAAGATATGCTACATATGTATACCTATCCTCTTGTTATAGATGGCTGAAAAGATTTTGTAACAATTTATTGTACTGTAAAAACATTTAAATTGGAAGGATACAACGATCTTAAGAAATTGCACAAAGGCGGACTTATCTTAAATGAGGAATTCAAAATTCAAAAATCATTTATTCATATAGGATATTTTAATTTTAGTCGTATATAAAATACGACTAAAATTAAATTTTTACATTATAAGTTTAATTTTTTCCCTACAATCCAGTTCAGTGTATAGATTCAATTGAGAAGAACTGGCATGAAACTTAATTGAATTACTGTTTGTTTTCAAAGCATGTTTTTTTACAGTGTATATTTATATAGGTGTCTATGTCTAACATTAAATGAAAATCCCGTGCATGAACAACTATTGCCATGCACGCTCGTCATTCAAGCAATCGTTTAGTGGCTTTGTTCAGTAAATATGATTTTAGTAGAATTAGGAAGAGACCGCCATTCCATCCTAAATTTCTTCCATTTTTCTTTCCAAAGGCTTTTTTTTCCAATCGACCTTTGAATGTCGTTCATGAAAAAATTTATTTAACTTTATCATTTGTTTTTATTATTGCAGAATATCAAGCTGATAACAGTGATGGGTTTACAAGAGAAATGTCACATCGAAATTCGAATGAAGAAGTTATATCAGAGCATGAAAAAGAGAGATACGCTCGCAATTTGAAATTTAAAGAAGTCGATAGTAGTAAAAATAATGATTTGGACGACAAAGATGCCAGTCTAGAAACAGATGATTCTTCGACCAATTTCGCACCTAGGTTTGTGCATCCACAAAAAATGTTTCATTCAAAGACGAAAACTGTTGGATCTTTTGTGAAGCTGAAATGTACTGCAGAAGGTAATATTTAGCGATTAATTTTAAATGAGACATAAGTATGTTTAAATCTATTAGAACTGATTGAGATATATTTCATGTAAACTAAATAAATACATATTTATAGAAGTACTGTAGGATTAAAACTAGTTACTTAAAGATTTGTTAGCTTTTAAGTTTCGTCTGCGGAACAAAACATTGAGTTTTTACTACAATTTGAAGCGAAATTTTGTACACAAATACAAAAATAAAGATGCATTTGGCAGACTGAACACCTTAAGGCATTTTCTCCCAGTCAACCTTAGAACAAACATAGATTAGTAAGCGGTGCATTTAAGCAAATAACATGAAATAAATAATAATAAAAGGAAGTACTTTATGCTGGTAATAATTTGTTAAATTCAAAATTAAGGATTCATAGAATAGAATAGAAAATCGTTTATTCAAATAAACTTAATTTAAGCACTTTTAAATAGTCATAGTTATCATTCTTTTAATCTACCGCTCATTCGGAAAGCTGTCTCATCACAAGAAGAACGAGCGAGAGACTTGCGTGTTGCTCTTTTAAATAATTACTGTAATTTTAAATTTCCAATTCGAAACGTGCATAAAAATAATATAAATTAGTGTTAGTTGGTGCTTTGTCACCAACTAACACTAATTTATATTATTTTTATACATAAATTCTTATATCTTCTTTTTTTTTGTTGGAGTATTTACTATATAGGACAGTAAGTTTGATGCTCTTATCAAACAAATGAGATTTAGCAGTAGGTGTATCTTAGGGGTTATTAACCCTACAGATTGCCACGAATACGCAACTGATATGACAATTACTTCTAACAACAACAACATTCAAAATCTATTTAAGGAAATTATCATGTGATGCCATGAAATTGGGTTCACTCCACAAGTTTATTTATGTCCGCAAGCCGAAGTCTTGCTTCACCCGTAACATAATTATATTGCGTGTTACTGAACAACTAAAAGCATTTTTATTATCGTCGTAAACTTTTGCAGGCAACCCAACTCCGACTATAGAGTGGAGGAGAAATAACGAGACTATTGTTAGGAAGGTCTCTCCAATATACTCGAAATGGTCCGTCGATATTGAAGAACTGAACAAAAGTGATGAGGGCAATTACACGTGTATCATTTGTAATGAAATTGCATGTATTGAACATAATATGGAATTGATCATTGAAGGTGAAGTATATATTGATGTTATATCTTAAGTATTTACATCAGAACGCTAATATTACAAAAATAAAACACGCTAATAGGTATAAAATATAGAATACAACAGAAAATTCTTTGTTGAAGTTAAGTTAAATTCAAGCACTTGTGAACAGCCATACTTATTTTATAAGCTACTGATCATTCAATGAGTCGTTTGATATCTTATTATAATATATCTGCTGGTACTTTTATTATTTGATAATGATGGAATGGTGATCCAGCTTACTCGAGTGGTATACGTTTGCGAGGTACCAGTGAAAATAAATAATTTAATAATAGTTAAATCTTTGCGCCTTTCATTAATAAGAAACGTAATAAAATCGGGACTAGATATAGTATTTTTATTATGTAATTGGAATGGTAAACAAACAGACGGTACGCGACAACCGTCGCGTACATGAACAACACTACGGACATCGTTACCGTGACACTCACGATACCATTCATGAGAGAGCAAAAATGTTATGTATCCAGTGATTACACTGCTTAATCTGCACACTCCAATTGAAATACAGCTCACAAAGATAGTTGCTTGGAAGCTATAGTAGGTGAACCTGAAGTATCCTTGTAGCCGACTTTAAGCTACCTCTAATGACAAAATATTTACAGCCATGTCAGTATACATGAAACTGTCAAAAATAATTTCTCTACCCTGTAAAAAGAAATGCATAGATATATAGATACTAAGACAATTTATTTCATAGTTTAGAATCACTAACATTGAATATTTCTAATACTATGTCATATATTTAATGTTAGTGATCACAAACAGGATTCAGATTATTTAAGGAGATGACAATATCTTACACAAATAGTCAATCAAATACTTAATCCTAATTCATCACATAATCATTAAGTATTTAATTTCATGTGGTCGTATTATATCTGTGCTAAAAGCTTAGTCCCCTCCGATCGATCCCCCGTCCAATTCAAACGGGGACCGATGTTACGACGGCCTTACCCGAGGTTCGAACCCCTAGCGGAGCCTCAGACTAAAGTCGTATCCGTCAGGCGGGAGTTGGCCTTCAGCCGCTCCATAAGTCCTTCTGCGGGTTTGGAGTGCCATCTGCACCTGCCCCCATCATCCGGTGAAGCTGTAAAGCCTTAATAAAAGCTAAAAGCTAAATCTAAAAGCTTAGCGTGAAATGCTATATATAACCTTATTAAAATTTAAAAGTATAAATTTGAAGATTATGATTCAATAATAAGCTTCTGGCACCAGTTTCATATACTCAAACATAACTGTAATTCAAACATTCGTTGAGCTCCGAAATGCTTTTTTAACTTTCAAAGAAAAAAGTCACTCGCTAAAATTAAATCAGCCGTTCTCCAAATAATGTGAAACACATTAACAAGTGAGTATAATTTTATGATCTTTATTTTACAGACTTCCAATCGCATGCTATTGATATTACTCATCCGATGCCGGAGATTTTATCGCAACGAAGAGCAGCAGCTCTCGTAGGAAACAATACAGATGAACATAAAAATGCCACAGAGCACATGAGATCTACGAGTTTAAAATCTAAAGAATTAGACAATGCAAGTGATGACCCAGATGAAAGGAATGATAAAGATCATCCAGCATACGGTGCTATTGATAATTCAACGACGAAGTCTCCACCAAAGTTTAAACATCCACAAAAAATGTATCCAACTGAAATGAAGCCAGCTGGAAGCACTATTAGATTAAAATGTGCAGCTGAAGGTAATGTTTATTACTTTGATTTGATTGGCATTATCATCATTGTCTGGCTTATTTTATAAATTTAAGTAAATGCTAAGAATCACGACTACGTTTCTGTTGCTGAATATTAACAACTGTCAAACTTTTACAATAAATAAATAATATTACGATTTTTAACATTCGCTATATTATTTGTTATTTTTTCTCTATTTAAGTAGTCCCTTTTAATAATATATTTTAGTTATTATATTATATTTGTTAAGGTTTCTAATTTTAAGTTCTTTATTTTTCTCTTATATGGAAAGATGAACGCCCAAAAGTAGGACAACAATGCATTGTTACAACCATTGTCTTTCCAACAGTAATTGTTACTTTGACTGTTATTAAACTACGTACAGCCACTTATCTTACAGCCCCTACAATACAAACAAATATCTCAATGACTACAAATATTTTACGCAAATTATCTTTGAAAATTGAGACAATATATTAAATCATTGTGCCGCCAAGATATTCGATTAACTGATGCCATTGATACTTTTCCACCAGGTAATCCAACTCCAAATATAACATGGACAAAGAACAAGGAATCAATAAGTAGAAGTTTCTATCCACCAAACTACGGGAAGTGGTCAATGGAACTAATTGAGTTGACCAAAGCCGATGATGGTAATTATACCTGTACCGTCTGCAACGAGCTCGGCTGCATCACCCACAATATTGAAGTCAACGTCATCGGTAAGAGATTCTTATTTACAAAACATAACTTTATACAATATATGTGTTTCAATCTATATTAAGAGACTATATAGCAAATATTTAGTTGAAATTGCACAAGATCTCGCTGCCTACCTCATAAAGGTTAGAGATAAAATCTAGCTCTAAAACTAAATATGAGGAATAACTTTATTTTCAATATTGGACATTAATTTATTATACTTTAAATTTTTAAGAGCGTTATCCCGCAAAACCATATATTAAGGAAGGGTACCCAGGAAATCACACTGTATTAGTAAATGAGACAGTGGAACTTTCGTGTCCACTTTTCTCGGATCTTGAACCAGAGATGCAGTGGTTCACGTTATCAAATTATTCTATAACAAGTGGAAAAGTGGGACCCAGTGATGCCAGAATTCCACCTGGATTCGAAATAAAGGTTGAAACCATTTAATTTCGGTGAAGGTTCTCGACTAATCGGGCAATCGGATCCTGAAATACAATGTTTGTAACTAATCAATTTGAATATAGAGAACATACAGAAAACTTAAGTGTAAAATAACTAACTTTATAGGTGGTGGTAAATGGGTTATTAATATAGTTAAACAGGTTTTAACGGGAATAATTTTATGGTAAATCATGGTATTTACCTCTCTCGCCGTTTCGACTAGGTTGAACTAGCCGTGATCATGATCTGATTAAACGTCGACTGACGAAACTTGGAGAGAACTTTATTTACCATAAAATTATTCGTATTAAAATCCGTTTAACTATATTAATAAAGTATAGTAAACGCGAAATTTAAAAATAAGATGGCTTATCACAGGAATTAGAATTTATAGAATAGGAATAATAAAGTGTAAGACGTGAAGACAAACCTATAATAGGCATAAGGTTGTTACGTGTGAATAGTGTATTATGTAAAGGTTAGAGGTAAAACAATAAAGTACGTGTATGTTTAGATCTTAATAATTAAATGGGCAATAAAATTGTTATTATTGTGTATTAAATGTTTATCCATGTTTACGTAACTATACAACTAAGTCATGCACTTAATGTTGTAACTGCAGCGATCGAGTCCTTTTCTGTTTTATCTTTAAATAAACCATAACACTGGATAGTTACTTTACATGAGTAAGTAGTAACCAGATATGTTTCCAACATTATAGAGCGTGTTTACGCAAAACCTGTACTCACGAAGGGCGTGGTGAACCAAACCAAGCTCGTTGGTGATACTGCCCACTTCAGCTGCTCATTCCTCTCAGACATGCATCCTTATATTTATTGGATGTACATCGCAAAAGACGAATACATGTATACAGATGTAGACCCAAGTAGTTCTCCAAATTCAGTGGCCTACAGTGATGTTAATAGCAAAAGTATAATGGTGAGGGGTAGATTCATAATAGGATTGGTATATTAAGTATTGTAGCACGGCTTGTGGCTTTTGATGTGGCATGATTCTGTTGCATGATATCTGTACCTTTAGATTTAATTTATTTAGCATTTAAATTGAATGCATCTTCAACTTTCATAATCACTTCATTTTTACAATAATGTTTGTTGTATTTAGAAACTAATTTTGTTTTTCTTTTATTGTTTGGTAGATATTAAGTCATTGCTATAATATTCATTTGTAATGATGACGTTTTAACTATAATATTATTGCCTTAATTGTGTGTGTGTGTGATTTTGTCAGTTGATTTTTATATACGATCGTAGTGTTTACACATTTTAGCATGATATTTGTTCTTCATATCTTTATCATTTTAATTAAAAATACTATAGTATATGGTGTGTTTTAAATTCTACTGCATTTAAGAAATATTATTTTAAACGATGATTATGACATTTTATATTTTAATTACAGTCCGATAATCCTGACGATAAACCCGAGCATTTAACTATTTATAATGTAACAAAGGAAAATGAGGGTTGGTACGTTTGTATTGCCAGCAATTCACTTGGTAACTCCACCGCCATTGGCTACCTCACCGTTATGGATTGTAAGTATTCAAATATCTATACAGATACAAGTATTGGTATTCACAAGTATGATTGTTTAAATCGGTTTGGGTGTTTTCTATGTATATTCATAGAAAAAAGTATATGTGTATCTAGTACCCATAACACATGCTCTGCTTAGCGTGGGATTAGATGGCGCTGTGTGAATTATCCTGAGTATTATTTTTATTATTATTTTGTTTAAGTAAATAAACAAATTTCATTTAATTATGTTCACCACGCCACTAATATTTGACCAATGCCTTTCACTACCATCTGAGATAGTTACGGGTTATAGAGAAGGTACATATATCCTGAGTATTATTTTTATTATTATTTTGTTCAAGTAAATAAATTAATTTAATTTAATTATACTCATCACGACATTAACATTTGACCAATGTTTTTTATTAACGTCTGAGATAGTTATAGCACAGGTTATAAAGATTTTTTTATTGTGAATCTTATAAGAATTATATCGTTTTAGCGCTACCTGAGCCAGAACAATTGGATACGGGAAAACAAACTCTATTTATAAATATAATGACAGCAGTACTTGGTGCATTATTTGTGGTGGCAGCTATTATAGTGCTGACAGTTTTCAAGATGTTCAAACGGGAGAAGATAAAGAAACAGTTGGCTATAGAGACGGCCAGAGCAGTGATAGTGACGCACTGGACGAAGAAGGTGACTGTGGAGAAACCGCAGATGAACGGGTCGCCTAACGTGTCTGGAGAGGCTTTGGTAAGGAAAATGGTGCTTTAGAATTAAAGAGAGTTATGGTAGTGTAATTGAAAGATGTAGAGGAATGTCACCTTGTCTAAGAATGGCAAAGTATGAGTGGTGTTACGGGCGTGATCGATTCCCCGTCCAATTCAAATGGGGATCAAAATTTCCATTGCCTGAGCCGAGTTTCGAGCCCTTAGCTGTGGCTTAGGACTAAAGTGGTATCCGTCAGGCAGGAGTCAGTTCCAGTCGAGGCAACAACTGCCTGCAAACTGTACGAGTCTCTAAATGTAGTACTGAGTGTTCTTTAAAATATATATGTTAAATCCCACAATGATAGATTGCAAATGACTGATTGATCATACTGGTGATACGATAAATATATTTCAATTATTTCTTACAGTTAATGCCAGTAGTTAAGATAGAGAAACAGAAGCTATCCCAAGTGCAGGGCCACACAACGGATTCCATGAAGATGTCTGAATATGAATTGCCAGTGGATATAGACTGGGAGGTGGCCAGGGAGAGTTTACTCTTGGGCAAGGTGCTTGGAGAGGGAGAGTTCGGGAAGGTGGTGAAGGCCGAATGCATTGGCATAGTGAAGGCTGGAGTACCATCGGTTGTAGCTGTCAAGATGTTAAAAGGTCTGCTATAAATTTTATTAAATTTAGGGCAAACATTTTAAACTGCAAAAGATCGTTGTTTTGGCTGTTTGGGTCTCGGATTACAAATTTATTTATGAATAGAAATTTACGTGTTCTGGCTAGAATTGATTTGTTTTGCCAAACCATGGTTTCATTTGGGAGCACAGTTAACTAGACTATGTGTACAATCTGCAAGCATTTCTTTGCAAATAATTTAAATATTTTTCCAAACCTTGTTTTGATTTGAGAGGACAATCAACTGGTCCATGAGTCGAATTTGCAACAATTTCGTTATAAATGATTCCATTCTTTTTACAAACCTTAATTTGATTTGGGAGCACAATTAACTGGACTATGAGTCTAATCCAATCTACAAGCATTTCTTTTCTAATGACTAAAAATATTTTTTTATGGGGAAAATACATAGAATTCAAATATGAGTAATATTTTTTTTATTAATTTGGAATCTCCATCATTACTTTTTATTATAATTTTTATTTAAGCAAGATTTTTTTTGTTAACTGCACAAATACATATGTATAATTGATCAGAGCAAAATTGACGTAGAAGGTAGCTGAAGTCCTGCTGAGCTTTTGAATTTTATATATACCTATTACAAATAAATGTACATGTATATTCCCTATTCTAATTTTAAATGATGAAGTTCTGGGGTAACAAACATATAAAACAATTAACAAATACGGCCTCCCTTTTTTAATTTGATTAAAACTAATACTATACATATCATATTGGTAATTACAGAAGGCCATACGGACGCCGAGATGATGGCTCTAGTTTCCGAGATGGAGATGATGAAAATGATCGGGAAACATGTCAACATCATTAACTTGCTCGGCTGCTGTACTCAGGATGGACCACTGTATGTGATCGTTGAATATGCACCTAATGGAAACCTTAGGGAATACCTAAGGAATCATAGACCTGGTAATAGGTATGTACTTTTGAAGTTTCCAGAATAAATATTTAAACCATTTATTTTATGGGTGATAATGGAATGATGCACCCGCCTACGCTAACGGTTTACGCTGGCGGGGCACCAGTGGAGGGTGATAGGATGAGCATGAGGTCAGGTCAGTTAGCCCATCGTGACAAATTCACAAAAAAATTATCACGATAGTTTCCAGAGGGAACCGCGTGGAGGTAGACCTAACATGGTACGTTGCTAGCAATAAGAATTACTAGTTCCCATCTTAACAATTCATTTCCCCTCTCTTTGTATATTATATGTTTACAAAAAAAATGTGGTTATCTATGTACTTAAATCAGTTGTCTAGTACCCATAACACAAGCTCAGCTTAGCTTGGAACTAAATGGCGCTGTTTTTTTTTTACCAAATACATATTAGATTAGAAAAAAAAAATTGTTCAGGCAATATTTTTAATACAAATATTTCCCAATTGTTACTTTAAATGAAACATTTCATTCTTCCATATAGACAGTTTCAAAAGTTAGTGATTGCACCAATTAAAGCTTACGTAACAATAACAAACTGATTTTACCTAATTGTCGTTTGGCTAAAGTTAGTAATTCGTTTTATGGCAATTGCGTAAGGTTTTACAATAAAATACCAGAGTCTGTTATAAATCTGCCAGAAAAAAGATTTAAATATCAAATAAAACAGTTCCTTTGCAAAAAAGCTTATTATAAAATTGAAGAATTCGTTAACGATAATAATGTTTTTATAGAAAAACTTTAAATCCATAGCACTGACAATATTATCTGATTACACTAATAATGAGTGCGTAGCGATTTCTATGTTGATTATCGCATGCCTCTTACTTGTTATACTGTAATTATTTATATAAAAAAACATATATTAAAAAGAGCAACACACAAGTTTCTTGCTCATTCTCCTATAGTAATGAATCTGCATTCCGAATGAGTGGTAGAATCAAAATATGACTATTCAAAAGTGCTTGTAATGAGTTTATTTGAATAAAGATTATTTCTATTTCCAGATACGAGCCTCTACCAACAGAGAACTTGAAAGAGAAGAAAACCCTCACGCAGAAGGACCTCGTGTCGTTCTCTTATCAAGTTGCCAGAGGGATGCAATACTTAGCATCGAGACGAGTGAGTATCATATGTTAAATATTCATTTAAACTACAATATTTACGTAAAGGTACATAGCGAAAAAAAATCTATGTATTTGTATCAGTTATATTATAGAAAAGTTGCGAGGTACAGATTGAGATGGTATGGGCATGTTATGCGGAGGAACGAGGATCATGTGTTATGGAAAGTGTATAATATGAATGTGGATGGATGTAAAAGGAGGGGACGCCCTAAGAAAAGATGCATAGATTATGTGAAAGATGATAAGAATAAAAGAAGAGTATGTTTAGATATGACGACCGATAGTGAGCAGTGGAAGAGAATGACATACTGCGCCGACCGCAAATAATGGGATAAAAGTAAGGCAATGATGATTGTATCAGTTATCTTGTACCCATAACTCAAGCTTTAGTTAGCCTAACGTGGGTATAGATGGCGCTGTGTGAATTGTCCTGAGATTATTATTATTATATTACAGTGCATACACCGAGACTTAGCAGCACGCAACGTCCTCGTGTCAGATAACTGTGTGCTCAAGATAGCTGACTTTGGTCTGGCGAAGGACGTACAGAGTAATGACTACTACCGGAAGAAGACGGAAGGACGGCTTCCGGTGCGGTGGATGGCGCCGGAGTCGTTGTACCACAAAGTTTTCACCACACAGACTGACGTGTTAGTATCATTCTTTATCAATCAGCCTTCTTAGTTACTAAAAATTGGCTATAAAATCGTGTGATTGCATTTTACTGTTCTTTGTGATCACTCTTTCGCGCGTGATACCACGTTTTTCAAGTTTTTTTCTTTCTTTTAAAATTGTATTTTTTATTCCACAGTATTAATTTTCCAAAGACACGTTTTACATTTATCAATTATCGATAACTCTATAATTATGTATTTGCTCTATGGTCCGCCATTTTGTAATATTAATTAGTTATTACAAAAAGGCGCTAAATCACCAACTATTGAAGAACGCGGGAATGCGTGAGCTGGCGGCGAGTGCAGTCTCTGGTTCTCTTTATCTACATTTAGTTGCACATTGGTGAAAGCCGATTCCCGCGTGCAAGAGCGTCTGTGTAAAAGCAGCTAATGTGTACATTTATATGCACACTCTTTACACGCAAAAGAACGTCCGTGTAAAGGCAAAGAGTGTCCGACTTAAGGTAGATAACTTGGACCGTGTTGCAGGTGGTCGTTCGGCGTGCTGCTGTGGGAGATCATGACGCTGGGCGGTACGCCGTACCCGACGGTGCCCGGACAGTACATGTACCAGCACCTCAGCGCCGGACACCGCATGGAGAAGCCGCCCTGCTGCAGTCTCGAGATGTGAGTATTCTCTCTTGTTATCAGTAATGATTATACTTTTTTTTTAATCCAAACGGACGACAGGTTTAATGTCTTGAAAGTTGTCATGTATTATTACAAATTTGATCGTTTAGGAATGAAATTAATCAACTTGATTTTATATTCCTTATATTAAATATTGTTACTCAGTGTTTAATATAAGGAAAACAAAATAAATATATGTTGATTTCTTTATTTATCCTTATTAATTATTAAAATGGTTAAATTATAAAATTATTGGACGTCATCTGAGCATATGATCTAAGTGTAAAATGAGAAAATTTTTACAACTTTATGGGATTTAAATAAATTGAAATGTATTAACGTCGCTTTCTTTTCCAGTTACATGCTGATGCGGGAGTGCTGGTCCTTCTCACCCGGAGACAGACCCTCGTTCACAGAACTAGTTGAGGATCTGGATAAGATCCTCACAGTGACAGCAAACCAGGAGTACCTGGATCTAGGATTGCCACAGCTAGACACGCCGCCGTCGAGTTACGACGGCTCAGGCGACGAGAGTGATAGTGAATTTCCATTTATTAAATGAACTGTGATTAGTGTTTTGTTGTTTGAAAACTGTGTTAATGGAAAGATAGAACATTCTAGATGAAAAATTACCACAGAAGTAAGTGGCTCCTTTGTTATTTTGCAAAATGAAGAGTGTATTAGAGTGCCTCGAATAAAAAATAGCAATAACGTAAACTAGCGAAATTGCTATTGTCATCTGTAAGGGGCTGTTTAATAGTTTTTAACAAATTACATTTTTTTTCATTACAAGTACCAAAATAGGACTGATATTTGTAATTAAAAAAAAACCAACAATATATAAATATATTTATTAGTAACAAATACATGATAATGTCTAATATCCTTATGGTTATGGAAATTTTCATAAATAATTACTATATAACGCAATGGGGGTAAACAATGTTCAGAGGCTGGACTTTCTATTAAATATACATTTATATAGATATGTAAAATCGTACGTAGTACCATAAATCTCCCACCTTGAGTGCTGTGTGCCTTTATGACTAGGTCGGTTGACCCACATAGCTATTGCAATATTATCTTGTAATTGTATAAAAAGTAGTTTTAGGTATATTTTTTTATTATCTTTTAATTCTATATTTGGTGTTTCAAACGAGTATGACTGAATATTTTACATGATAGGAATTTCGAATAGAATAATATTTCTGTAACTTCGTATTTATAATTAAAAACATTATTATATAAAATTAATTATTTTAATTGTATATAATAAATATGTTTTATTCATGACGTATATAATTTATTTATTGTTTTTATATTGCATTTTCTTCTATTTTTTGTATTGCATTATTATAAAATGTATGTACAATAAAAATGTTATTTTGTAAGTTTAAAATATTATTTAAATTTAGAGTAAATTTACCAAAAAGTGCAAACAAAGTATTGCATAATATAATTGTAAATAGATAATTATAATTTTATAGTGATGTTATGTTAATTCTAATGTAACCAGCTAGGATATGTAAAAGAATATTTATATTACTTCAAAAATAAAATATATAATCCTGGATGACTCACAGAGCGCCATCTAGTTCCAATCTATACTTACTTTGATTACTGGGCTACCTATAAACACAGTTAAATATATTTCTTATTATTTTTTATATAACTAGCTGTATACGCAATTTCGTCCGCGTGGATTTTAACTTTATTTTCTAAAATAAAAAAAAATCTCAAATAAAGGTAGCCTAAGTTACTCCTTATTACCTGTCAATAAAATTCCCGTCAAAATCGGTCCAGACATTTCAGAGATGAGCCGGAACAAACAGACAGACAGACAAAAATTGTAAAAAATGTTATTTTGGTATACGTACCGTATTTATATTCATATGCTTGTAGTAAAAAACGGTTATTTCAATGTTACAAACAGACACTCCAATTTTATTTGTGTTTATAGATAAAATAATAACCTTTTACGTTGGTTTCTTGTATAATTTCATTATATATGCCTGTTTACATTAGAAATAACAACTGCGAATATATAATCGTAGTGTTTTTGTAAATAGTCATTGTAAACCAAAGTTTAGTACATTTTTGTATTATAAAAGTATTATTTTGTATTCTATGTAGTATTCTTGTAAGTTTTAAGTATTCTTAGATTGATTGTGAGTTAGTTTAAGTGCAGTGCGTTTGGATTGCTGGTAATCAAATTATTTGCCGTCTAGTCTGCATACATAGTGAAGTTCAGTGGAATGATAAAAATTGTATGATTGTGAATTGGTTTGGAACTTTGTATTAACAAAATCATGATCATAGTTCAATTTAGTTATCTATATATCGTATCTATATACATATCGACGGCCTCGGTGGTCTAGCGGTCTAGCACACCGCTTTACGTCCGATGGTCGCGGGTTCGATTCCTCGCACGGCACAAACATTTGTATTCATGAGTATGATTGTTTGTATCCGTCTGGGTATTTTCTATGTATAATATGTATGTATTTACGAAAAAAAAAATATCTATGTATTTGTATCAGTTGTCTAGTACCCATAACACAAGCTTTAGTTAGCTTAACTTGGGTCTAGATGGCGCTGTGTGAATTGTCCTGAGATTATTATTATTATATATAGTATGAAGTGATCGTTTTGGTCTGTTTCTCCTCATACAGCTTCAAATCAAACACTGTAGGGCTTGTTGAAGCCCGGGCTAATAACTATTTTTTATAATAAATTTATCCGCCACTCGAGGAAATAGAATATGTATATTTTTGCTCTTAAATAATAATAACTTAGAAAATTCACACAGCGCCATCTAGTCCCAAGTTAAGAAACTTGTGTTATGGGTACTAGACAACTGATATAAATACACAGATACATTTTTAAACGCGTACATAATATAGAAAACAGCCAGATCGATTCAAACAATAATATGTATGAATACAAATGTTTGTGCATGCCGGGAATCGAATCGGTGACCGTCGGAAGAAAGACGGTGTGTTATACCGCTGGACCGCTGAGGTGAATTGATGTATATGTATTTTATTGTAATAGATAACATGTATTTTTTTAATCTCAAATGAAATTAAAATAAAAATGTTAGAAATAGTTTTGCAAGTTAATATTCATTCATTTTTAATAAATAAAAATACTCTTCAATTGAGATTTTAGTGCATTTTACCACCAAATAATTACTGTAGGTACTTAATTAGTTCTATAAGGTCAGCCGTATGGTAAATGTAAATACTAAATAAACATACGTAGATGTCTAATGTACACATATGTACAATTTTTAGTTGAAAATGTTATGGACGAAACTTTATGATAAAAATCAAGTTTAATTTAACGAGTAGTGTTTTGTCTCTGTCTTTCAAATTAAGAAAGCAGCTCGTAAGAAAGAGAGATAGACACAGTTTAAATAAAAATCATTTTATTAGATGTTTGTATGAATAATAGGGTAGATTATTCATGATTATTAGCAAATGCTACCCAGATGTTGACACTCTGATGATGTACGAGTATTTGGAAATGTAATAAAGTTTCTTACACATTAGAATTTAGTCTGTAGGTAGACATTGAGGTAGCATATCTAAATATTAGAGAAGATATAGAAACAAGCGTCATACTCGGATATAAGATCAAATTTTATGACTTTGTAAAGTGTAGCGATATCACCGCAGTTGATTGTAGTGAAGGTTGACTTGCTCTACAATTGTGTAACATAATACCTCAATGTCTATAGAACAATATATCAATATTTATGTCAAAAAGGATGCCTTTTAATACAAAATGGCTTTCATTCTCTCGAACATATAAAAAAGAGTCTTAAATTAAGATAATTAGGTAGCATTTCGATTATTATAAGATTTATTTTATTTTGATTTGTAAATTGTGTGGTTGGACTACCGCCATATTTGTGTCATGTAACTGTTTGTATATTTGATAATTTCTATGGAACGATGTTAATAATGTGTAATAAATAAATATGAATGGATGCGAATAAGGTGGTTTTTTTCTGTTTAAATTTGATATCATAGTTCGACTTGCTGAACCCGACTACGGTTTACGCTGGCGGGGTGCCAATGGAGGATCATAGGATAAGCATGAGATCAAGTCAGTTATCGTGAAAAATTCGAGGTCAACCTTACGTGGTATATAGTTAATAATTGGTCCATTAGTAGACATTACTGACAATGCCATATTCAAATTCAAATTCAAAAATAATTTATTCATGTAGGACATTTTAGCCGCTTATGAACGTCAAATTTTTTATATTATAATTTTTTTCCTACCGTCCAGTTCAGTATATAGATCCAATTGAGAAGAACTGGCAAGAAATTAAATTGTATTTTTAAAAGCTCGTTATTTACAATGTATATTTATATAGGTGTCTATGTCTAACATTAAATGAAAATCCCGTGCATGAACAACTATTGCCATGCACGCTCGTCATTCAAGTTTACCATTCTCCCCATATCACAGTTACCTTTCATTACTATTAAGTAAATGAACAATTAGCTAAATAATATGCTAAAATATAACTATTGTTTTTGTGGTTTCGGAATTATACTGAAAAAGGTTGAATAGTAAAATAAATTAATGTAAAGCGCCATCTATACTTTTTATTCAGAACTTTTAAACACAGGTTGCTATTTCACAGTTCAGTTAATGTGTCTTTGTATAACTAGATGGCGTTAGGTGCAAATTCTAAATAAATTGTATTTTCCTGTCACATTATTTTCACGGGGAAATCTTATATCCCAGATATAAATTGGACATGGTTTTCCGCATATGAACCTGTTTACGTTTATGAACCTGTCTTGGCGCGGCCAAAAATAATCTGACAGTTTATAGTCGCTACCTTCGTGAAGACCTCGGTAAGAATTTGTGTAGGTTGAAGGCCACTTTGGTGAACTACGGTAACGGGTTGCATTCCGGAATTACATACGCTCTTTAGCGTTTAAGAAATATATAAAATAATATTCAATTATCTATCTATCTATCTATTTGTAATGGATAATGGAATAGTGCACCAGCCTGTTCTAATGTTAGTTAGTTAAGTTCAGTTAGACCAGTGGTTCCCAAATAGCTTTTGCTGCGTACCACTTCAAAAAAGACCTCAAACCTTAAGTACCCCATATTGTCAATATTATCACACTAATATTCTAAATGTAAAAATTTATGAGTGTATGTGTATGTTTGTTTTACTGATAGCCGCACTTACCCCTTGATACAACTTTACATACCCCTGGGGGGCGCGTACGACTAATTGGGAAACACCGAGTGACCATCGTGACCAATTCACAAGAAATTTACGATGGTTTAAAAAATATTGTATGCCAACATTTTGTATGGGAAGTATTATTTTATGGGCTGTAATTTATTTTTTATTTTATTTATTTATTTAATTAACACAATATAAACTTACAGCTAATTGCCAATTGCTAATTGTAATGAAATAGGATGGGAATAGATAGATAGATAGATAGATATATCGTTTATTTGTTTGTTACTAGTCACACACATAACATGTTCATAAGAATATAAAAATACATAATACAACATAAGATTTATAAAATTGTGTTTTATGTGTGATCTGTAGCAATACAAAAAGGTCGAAGCTCAGCGTGGAACATTGTTCAGGGAACAAAACACTGATTTTCAGCTTCAACCCATTTGAGGGTACGTGAAAATAATAATTAAAATAAATATAAAATAAAAAGAACAATATTATTGGTGATTGTCTGTGTAAAAATAATGTAAATAGTTCAGAGTATAATTTGATATAATTTTAACTGAGTGGTAAGGATCAACAAAAAGAAAAAAAAAGAAAATATTAATAAGAGTAACATAGAGAAATAAAAAACAATTTTTTTTTTTTAAGAACCTTTACCGGAGATTACAACCGCTAGCCAAGAAATTTCTGTGGAATGCCTAAAATTTGTTTTTCTAATAAGTATTCTTTGTGATGTTTTTTAAAACTGTGTACGGTAGTAAATACAGTTACATCATTGAGCTGACCTGCCAAGAATAACAACGATGCTTTATAAGGGACCGCGTGGAGGTTAACCAGTCCGATATATTGCTAGCAATGGGATCCACTAGTCCTTAGAAGGGGAATGTGGACTCATGACCCCATTCCTAGCAATGTACCATGTCAGGTTGACCTCCACGCGGTTCCCCCCGGAAACCATCGTGATAAATTCCTGGTGAATTTGTCACAATGGGCTAACTGACCTGACCTCATGCTCATCTTATCATCCTCCACTGGTGCCCCGCCAGCGTAAACCGATAGCGCAGGTGAGTGCACCAACACATTATCATCCATAAAAAAAAGTCCTTAGATAATATTACTAACAATCCTCTAGATATTCGATAATTATTTTGATCGTTACACTTTCATACCTCAACAATATTAGCATATTTAATAACATATGTGATGGAGGTCATGCTACTTTAATAAAGTCTCGATGAATCATCGCTGACGAAGTCGAGTGTCGAAAGTAGTGTACAAAATAAAAACAATCATAAAAGTATAAATATTAAATTTTTATTTCATTGTTTAAGGTTCTTTCCAAGTATATACTATAATATTGGCGTTGCCTTACATAGATATAAAATTTATACAAAATTTTTTTTAGTAAACATTATATTTCAAATTTTTATACATTTTATGACATGTCACAGATGATCTTGATGGTAATCATTTAAACACGTCCGTATATTCGAGTTTCGTAGCTCAATCGTAAGACAAACATATAGATGTAAAATTATCTAGAGAATAAGGCTTTCTTTAACCTAAATATTAATATTCTAAAAACATTTAACAAATTCATCTTAGGTCTTGAACTATCTAGTCCATTTTAGATTTGACATATCATAAGAGTTTGTAATAGAACTACATGAATAAATAGCATATGGTGGTCACTCTATTCTCCCAAATTTGAATTTAAATGAATCTGTATTATTGTAAACATGTACAACATTTATATGAAAAGAATACGAGCTGAGTTTCTTGTCAGTTCTCATCTCGATATCAATCCGAACTGACGGTAGATTTGACATATCATAAGAGTCTGTAATAGACCTACATGAATAAAGATATTTTGAATTTGAATTTTTAAGCAATTTTTCTGCCGAAACTGGGCAAAATACTACGATAATTAGTATAAATAAATATGTATATATTCTTTTATGTAGAAAATAATATATTAAGTGTTAATACGGAAATTAAGATAAATCAATAATAACAATACGAGCCCAACTGTAATATTAACAATACTAATATAATAATCAACAAAATTGTAAAAAAAATTTTCACATCAATTTTAAAATCTAAAAACAATTTTGTTATCTCAATAGACAATTAAACTAAATTAATTTAATTAAAAAAAAAAACAATTGATGTGTGTATATTTATTTTGTATTCTGTAGTAAATCCGGTATAAAAATGTAACCAAAAGCCAGATATTTTTGCCCCTTTTTTGCTATATTGCTTTTATATATATAATAAATAAATAAACGTAGGAAATTTATGTATTACTTATTCTTCTCTAAATGATATAATACACGGTTATGTTATACTGTATTGACAATTTTTTTATTACATGCAGTTAATTAATAACCATGACAGCTCCATGGTTTTTTGTTTTGTCTTTTTTTAGAGCAAATTTTTTATTTGAAAAATTGTCAAAACTCTGTTGTATTTTTTAAAATAAAGTTGATTAAAATTCTTATAAATAAGAAATATATTAGAATGAAGACATATAGCGAGAAACACTGTTAAACTGTATTGTTAATATGTCTGTATATAAAATTGCTTTACATTTGTCTTTCTGTAATTTGTCTATTCTTTCTAAGTTTATAAACTTAAAAATAGTCGTATTTATTTTTATCAACTTTACAACTTGTATATAAACACACAAGTTTTATTTTCAAACGATACAATATTATAATCTTATTAACTCAATAACAAATTGTTTTAACTCAATATATTATGTTTTCGGAGAATCGACTTTAAAATTAAAGCAATAAAGTTGATTTTTCATTGTTTTATACTATAGTTATAATTATTGGTGATATACATGTAGAAATACCGTATTTTTATTGTAGCTGCAAATCGGATAAGATGTTACAAATCGATTGTAAGTAATCAAAATTCAATTCAAGATAGAAAACAATATTTAACACGCCTTCATGACTATTATTATATTTGGGGTAGATAGAAACATTGTCAATTGCTATTTTTTAACGCAATAGTCATTTGGATGCGTATATTTGAATACAACGGTAGACAGCAAGCGAACCACTGTCCCTCCAATTGAACTAATATTTAAAACCCATACAAAAAGTTTAAAAAAATTGGCCAGAATTGAATTCATGACCTGCGTCTGACGGGTTATAGTAGGTACTAAAACACTAGGCCGATAAAACCTACGGTTCTGAAAAATATCTATTTTTACGTTATATATACTTACAAATGATAATCTACCGGACATATTATCACATTTTTTTTAATATACATATTTAGAAAATTCGTTAAAAAAAACAATTATACAAATTCATCTTATACAGGGATGTTAGGGATCTCCGTAACCGAATCCGAAATAAAAGTTTCGGATAATATCGGATAGGGGCGGAGCCTAATTGAGATACGATATGTGGCCATTTTTTTAGCTATTTGTATTATACTTATGAAATTCCTTAAAAAATTAATATCCGAAACTAATGGATAATCCGAAATAATTTCATATCCGCATCCGTATCCGTATCCGGTACAATAATCATTTCTATATCCGAAACCTATCTGTATCCGAAATTACATATCCATAACATCCCTGATCTTATACAAGTATGACTTGAATATACATTTATTATGAATTAAAAAATAATAATAATAATAACTTAGCCTAAAATATACAGCGTTAATAATAATAATACTTGTTTATTACATTATTATTTGGTTCAAATAATGTCTGTGCGTTTGAAAAAAATATGAAAACTTACTATAGGTGTAATCAAATTACTCGTCTTTAATCTAAAGATGTCATAAACTTAACAATAATTAGTCAAAATAATAATAAAATTACACAAAGTATTTCTACAACACAGAGTACAATATACACAGAGTGAAAACTTTCAGCCAGTGCCCATTTTGCAGACAGATATATGCTAAGAGCTATCAGTATCACTGTTTAGTTATCGAGTGATTTTACGATTAATATTATCGATTTGTTTATTTAATACTATTATTTTTTAATTTGAATGGAAGACCAGCTTAAACTATTCATTTCATTCACATTAATATATTAAATTTTAATGGAAAGCCAGTTTACAGTCCAGCTTATCGTATCGTAGTTTTTTTTAATGAGTAATGGGGGCTGCCTGAAAACCAGCGCTGTATAGGTGCACCTCATTGAGGTTGTGCTTATATCAGCAACAGCTGAGGCAGCTCCTATTGCCAACTTCTATGTTATTATTTACTTCTTATTTTGTGTCTTATTTTAAATTGTATTATTTGTGTTATGTTGGCAATAAATCTATTATCTATCTATAATTCCCGTGGTTTCATTCATGCATTTCTCAAGAATGGAATTTTCCCTGTTATTCCTGAGGACAAAGTTGTTGCATCAGTATCGAGTAATTTGTACTTTCTATATTGAGCCAGTGCTCAAGTTCCCACTCTGTATTACTTCTATAGTCATGTATAAACGTGACAACATTTTGTTGTTTCAACAAAAGTTACTACATACTTCTTTGTTATAGAAGTTAAAATTAAATACTCTATAGTAAGTGTTTCGATTTGATTTGATTTGATTGAACCTGTTACAATTGTTTTTACATCCGCTTAATGTTATGAGTGTCACAAATGAAAACATATCACATAATTATTATCAATTACTTGGTACCATTGTAAGTGTGACAATGGCTGTATGATTGTATTTTGTTTTCACAATATCCAAACTTTATTATCACATCGCAGAGCTATAAAAATCTCAAGAGAGGACATGATGTACAACAGAGAGTTTTCTATAAATGTATGTCAAATCTTTATATATAACAATTACGTGTCACGTTGTTTGTCCGCGATAACTACTGAACCAATTGCAAACTCGATTTGCAAATTGTATGCAATTTCATCCAACTTGAAAGATAGGATAGCTTACATCTTAATTTATAGTCGCAATATTATTTTAATTAAGAACCTTAGTCATAGCAACGCGTGGCCGATATCTGATAGTTTTTATATATTTATATCAGAAATTATTAAAATTTTATGTGAAAAATTAACGATATTTTGTCGCAATGTCAATGTCAAAAATTATTTAATATCGTTTACAGTAAATTGCTTTTGTTCTTTAATTGTCTTTCTGAACACGTTTAAAAAATAGGATTCGATTATGATTAATGAATAAAATCATCATACTTAATTATTTCAAAGCAACGTTAAAAAGATTTCTATAGTCTGTTAAATTATTCACATGTCTGATTGCAGTCGTATTTTTAACAAATTTTGTTTGTTTATTTTAATTATCTTGCTCACCTGTTATTATGTGAAATGTCCCCTCTTGAGTTTCCTGTGACTCCGCTATCACATACATTTAAAATAATACCCGAATGCATGGAACTATTTAAAGCTATTGGTTTAAGCGTGGGCGATCATCCATTTCCATCCATCCATTACATATTGACGCAGCGCAGTTTCTTCTCCGGAATTCTAGAAGCAAACTGGAAGCTTGCCGTTGAAGTTTGTACCTCTGACGTCTCTTTCTGCACACCCATCATACTCTTTAAGCAAATCTTCTTTTCAGCTGCCAGCTTCTTGACCAGTCTTTCGAGGGAAAACAAATGATCATCCAAAGCTTCAGGGATTTCATCCCGCATAAAGTCTACTAACCTTAGTAAGTATTCTACGTTTGTCCCAGATGGACCGCGGCATATGAGGATCTGATCAGCGATGTTCAGGAGAGGAGCTGTGCCCAGCCAGTGTTTGTTACCAGGCACTGCTATATACATAAGAGCCTCTGTCTTCTCTCCGGTGATGTAGTTATTGTTTGAAGGGGACAGGAGGCGAGGGTAGAAGTCAACTGTGACTACTTTGTAGCCTCCGAGTTGGCACTCCCTGGTGCTCAGGTACGGTAGCGCAGCTTCGTTATCAGCTGCAACTAAAAAGGCTTTGCCCCAGGTGATGCCCTGAAACAAAAGATTAATGTCGTTTAGATAATCTAAATATATATAACTCAAAGGTGACTGACGGACATAGTGATCTATCAACTAACAACGCACAGGCCAAACCACTGGACGGCTCGGGGTGAAATTTGGCAAGCAGGTAGATGTTATGACGTAGGCATCCACTAAGAAAGGATTTTGATTAATTCTACCCCCAAGGGGATAAAATAGGGGATGAAAGTTTGTCAATTTTAAACCGATCGGGCTGAGACTTTGCATGCATATAGCTACTATGACGTAGACATCCCCTAAGAAAGGATTTTGATTAATTCTACCCCCAAGGGTATAAAATAAGTTTGTATAAACCTTCTTGGATTTGTAGACCCTAATTTTTTACACACGCTAAACAAAAGTAAAGCAAAAACTACACCTAATTAATAATAATACTTCCTACTACGCGAGCGAAGATGCGGGCAAAAGCTAGGACTTCAAATTTTCTTTTTGGCAGGTAGCTGATGTAATAAGGAGTAAATTAGGTTACTTTTATTTTGAATTCTTTTATTTTAGAAAAATAAAGTTAAATTCCACGCGGACGAAGTCGCGGGAACAGATAGTAATAAATAAATAAATAAGATATCATTGACGGCACCGCTAGGGATTCGAACCTCAAATCAGGCTTTCGTAATTTCGTTCCCCGTTTAGAACAGAGTGGCTTAACAACAAGACAAAGAACACCAACTAAATCTATATTTAACATATCGTCTGCAATTGACATTGGTATCAACATATTTGTGTTATCAACGCTATGCTGTATCTTTTATCTCAGCTGATTAGTGATTAGAGTGGCTGGGGTCTAAGTTCCATCCATCTAAACTAATCAATGTTTAGACATTTTTCCATTCGTCTAATCTATTCAAATCTTGTACAATCGCGTTGAACAATCATTAAACTGATTATAAACTACTAACTGTCCCTGTTGTTTTGTAAATTAAAATCGCGATTAAAAAATAGGGGTTGATGGTTGAAGCATTAAAATGTAGGGTATGTATTTTAAAATGCCGATTTATGAAAGAAATTGGTGTTAAAAATTAAAGAAATTTTTGTTTGGGGATTTTATACCTTATAGATAAGGTTGACCCACCCTTATCATATAGGGGTACAAAAAATAGATATCAACCTATTCTCAGACCTACTGAGTATATATTTAAAATTCTATCGCGGACCAACAACGATAATTAAAGATTCATAGTTTTTTTTTATGTAATCTATACATATAAATAAAATTGGAGTGTCTGTTTGTAATGAACTGAAATAACAGTTTTTTCCTACATGCATATGAATATAATTACACCAAAATAACATTTTTTACGATTTTTGTCTGTTTGTCTGTTTGTTCCGGCTAATCTCTGAAATGGTTGAACTGATTTTGGCGGTACTTTTATTGGCTGGTAGCTGATGTAATATGGAATAACTTAGGCTACTTTTATGTTAATGTCCACGCGGACGAAGTCGCGAGTTCAGCTAGTAATAAATATAATTAAAGTTTGAAGTTTTAAATATTATATATATATATGTTTTAATAATAGTTATTCCATAACTTAGGCTACTTTTAACTTAGAAACATAAAGTTAAATTCCACGTGGACGACGTCGCGGGCACAGCTAGTCGATATATATAATTCCTGAAATTATTGGTATTTTGTTTGTTTGTTACATTCATACAAATTTATTTATTTATATGTAACTAGCTACTCGCCCCGGCTTCGCTCGGGTGTACATGTATTTTATATATAAACCTTCTTTTTGAATCACTCTATCTATTAACAGCTTCAAAATCCGTTGCGTAGTTTTAAAGATTTAAGCATATATAGGGACGGACAGACAGCGACTATGTTTTATACTATGCAATGATAGTTTATGATCTAAAAATACAATGACTTATAGGTGGACACAGCATACAAAGTAGTATGCAAAATACCAAAGTTATATAAACAACTCTTAAAATATCCAATAGCACTATTAAAGATAACTCAAACACTCAAGTATTGATCACCACATGAGTAGCAGCAGTATACAAAATAAAAAAAAGAATCATCAGAATCAGTTCAACACATAAAAAACTTAAGTATCAGTACAATAGGTACAGACGGTTGACAGGTTGCTAAACAAAACGTGACGATATAGCTATAGGCGATGGCTTTGCTTATCATTGAGGAAAACGTTGACCTCGTATTAAAATAATTACATAATTCTCAATATTTTTATTACTTTAAAATATTTTTTTTTGTATATGATAATGAAATGGTGCACCCGCCTGTGCTAACGGTTTACGCTGGCGGGGCACCAGTGGAAGACGATAAGATGAGAATGAGGTCAGGTCAGTGAGTGATAAATTCATCTAGAATTTATCACGATGGTTTCCAGGGGGAACCGCGTGGAGGTCGACCTGACATTACTAACAATCCCTTTCCCTCATTTTAAAGTATTGTAAACACAGGTTGACATGGAAAATAGATGCCAGTAATTTAATTTAATACTAGCTGTTATTCGTGTTTTTATCCGCGTGGAATAAAACTTTTTTTATTAAAGTTCTAAAATAAACGTAAACTGCGTTACTCTTTCAAACGTTAGCTACCTACGAGTGAAAGTCCCGTCAAAATCGTTGCAGCCGTTCACAGATTCGCAAGAGCAGACAAAAAAATTCAAATCAAATTTTTGATGTAAGTACCAAATATACTTTAATAATAATAATAATAATCTCTGGACAATTCACACAGAGCCATCTAGACCCAAGTTAAGCTAGCTAGAGCTTATGTTATGGGTACTAAATAACTGATATATATATACATAGATATTTTTTTTTTTTGTAAGTACATACACATTATACATAGAAAACACCCAGACCGATACAAACAATCATACTCATGAATACAAATGTTTGTGCCGTGCGAGGAATCGAACCCGCGACCATCGGTCGTAAAGCGGTGTACTTGACCGCTAGACCACCGAGGTCGTCGACTTTAATATGCATTTAGTGGAAAGCTGTTAATTAAAAATCACATAGTGATAGGTACTTAAATTTTATTTATTTGTATTTAAACTTAACACTTATAACATATTTCGTCCAGTTAACAACTCAGACGGGATGCAAAAAAAAAATTTTAAGAAAATCGATTATATATTAAAAAATATATATATTAATACAGCAGACTATTATGGTGACCTAAAATCACTGGCTGCATTAAAAGGATCAAGTGGGGACTTAAAAAAAAAACAAAAACATCCCAAGAGCCCACAAACTAGGAAAAATAGATTTTATGTCTTACTAGCTGCACCAAGAATTTTTCTAAATTAAAAGTAGCCTAAGTTACTTCTTATTACATCAGCTACCTGCCAATAAAAGTCCCGTCAAAATCGGTCCACCCATTTCAGAGATTAGCTGGAACAAACAGACAGACAGACAAAAATTGTAAAAAATGTTATTTTGGTGTATGTAGCGTATTTATATTCATATGCATAGAATAGAATAGAATAGAATAGAAATCATTTATTCAAACAAACTTACATTGAAGCACTTTTGAATAGTCATAACATTTTTTTTTTAATCTACCGCTCATTCGGAATGCTGTCTCATCACAAGAAGAACAAGCAAGAAACTTGTGTGTTGCTTTTTTAAATAATTTATTCTTTCTTACAATTTAAGTTTAAATGTGTGAATACAAACTACCGATTAGCATTAATTCAATGAAATAATAAAATAGAAAAAACATTCAATACACAACAACTGGTTAAACAATTAATAAGAGAAAATAAGTCATAGTGATTATGCACGTAGTAAAAAACGGTTACTTCAATACTACAAATAGACACTCCAATTATTTACATGTATAGATGTATAGACTATATGTTAACAACAAAAAGCCAATTACGCAAAACATAATCACCCTTATTAGTTCTAGAGTAGATACCAATTACAAACTAGCGAATTTTGTTTTTTTATTGAGGGGGACGGCGCGTACGCAGTCCCCACTACCAAAAATTACGCGTCCGAGTTATCCACATTAGGGATAATCGCAGGGGTCAACCCAACCGCAGTGCAATGGGAGGGCCTCACCCTGGGGGAACCGCCTTCTTGATCACGGTGTCCCCTACGCCAGGTAAGTATGATTTCACATCGGTCGCCGACCCTTATATCCCTGCGGCAAAACATTTCGTTAGCGCGTTTTACTTTTAGCACAGCGCCATCTAGTGAGAGTAATGGCAAACTATAACTTTATATAGAGGCGAATCGTTTTTGCAGAAATTATAATTCTGACAATAAAATATAATTTATCGCTCTAATAAAATCTTTTATATTAAATTATACATATATATAAACATTCTACTAAACAGTTACTATATTTCTCCAAAATGGCTTGACTGATTTTGATGAGGAAATTTTTTAAGCATATTCAGTAGGTTTGAGAATCGGATACTAGCTATTTTTCATACTCATCATCTGCTTCTTCCTTATCCCATTTAATTGGGGTCGGCGTAATATGTTTTTCGCTTCCATTCATCCCTGTTCGCAGTCATCTCGTTATTTACTTCCTTTCTTACTATATCATCTTTCACACAGTCCATCCATCTCTATTTCGGCCTTCCTCTGCTCTTATAACCATCCACATTCATATGTATAAGTGATAATGGATGTCCATTCCTAGCATGTTTTTTTTTCAATTTATTGGACATATTTTTTTTTATAATGCACCATTAAAGTTACATACAACCCTAACTGTTCACTCGTCTACCATCAACCCCTATTTTTTAATAGCGATTTTAATTAATATAGCAAAACAACGTTTGCGGCCTCAACTAGTCATTACATATTATAAAACAAAGTCGCGGTCACTGTCTATCCGTTCCTATGTATGCTTAAATCTTTAAAATGTTGAAGCGGTTTTTTAATGGATAGAGTGATTTTTTTTTAGTGGATGATAATGGAATGGTGTTCCCGCCTGCGCTAATGGTTTACGCTGGCGGGGC